TCGATGGAAATGGGCCCTCGTGCATTATGTTTAACTTTAGCTCGCCACGCGAGAGTACAACATAAGCTATGCGATTTTGTACATTGCTATAACTTTTTTTATAATATTATTTGATCATATGGATTGAAGTTCAAAAGAAAACTGAACTATTCATATATAATATAATAATAAAATATGTATAGTACAAAATGTATAGTATAAAATTTCTTCTTAATGTTCGTCTTTGAAATACATTACACTTAGCGATAATGTTTTATTAAATTTGATAACAACTGTATTTCATCAAATCAACATAACAAGATGAATGTACTTACGTTATTATAACTATATGAGTTTTATATGTACTTCAGTTTTGAGAAAAGAATTTTCTGCCTTATATCTTTATAAACAGAATCATGCAACTAAAACAAATTTGTTATCGTATTTCGAGAATGTTAATAGCTTTGAAAGTTATCATACAGTTGCAGTTTTAAGATATCAAAATTTTATCATTGGAAATGTCTGGGCAATTTTCAAATATGAATTATAATCTTCTTATAGTCCAGAGAAAATATTTTATCACGTTTCCTATAATAACAAATATGTCTTTAAAAGAGATATTTAAAAGATGCGTGTTATACAATTTCACGTCATCTTTTTTTTTAAATATAATTTTTGTTGTCTGGTACAGAAAACCTCATTAAAGATGCAATAACGTTATTTCTCGTTTCGCAATAAACGCATACATAATGAAGCAACATGAAACATGGAAAAAACTTTCTAAGTATCGACGAATTTATAATGTGATGCAACATTTTCTATCTCTTATTTTATTAGATCAGACATAACCGATGCGTGTTGGATAGATATTTTATTTTATATTAGATTTCATTTCATTTTATTTGTTTATTTATTTTTTATTTACTTATTTATTTAATTATTCATTTGTCCACTTTTTTATTGATTTATTGATTTACTTATTAATTAATATGAAAAATTAGAATAAATTTTTGATCGGGAAAATGCGTAACAAGCGCGAGAAGTTCTATGGCATGCTACGCTTGCTCCGGCTGCTCTATGATTGATCAACTTTAATCGTCAATATCTCGATAAATAACGATCTGAATCAAAACTTGTGAAAGAACTTTCAGTTCAAAATTTTATCCCCTTTCACTGAAATATTAATAAAAAAATACGGGACATCCTGTATATATATATATATATATATATGATATATATATAGAACGCGTCATCAAAATGCGGACAAATCGAATTTTTATAAAAAATATTTTTTAAGGTTGGCTCCCCCACCGGTATATTTACTGAAATAATTATAATATATTTATAAAATAAAATTAAAAAAAACTTTTATGATAATATAAATAAAAGTTATTTAAGTTAATCAGTCAGTATCTTGACTTTTGCATATGTAGGAGATTAGACTATAAAGATAGGTAGACTAATTATGTTAAAAACGACTGAAGACACATGTAAACATGCACGTGCAGCAAGAATTTCTGCTCAATAGCCCATAATATCTTAAATACAGTCGCTTCTCCTTAAGGGGATCCTAAAGCAAAACTCGAACCCCGACGAAATCGCTAGAAATCACGCCGCGCGCCGCACATCGACATGTCTTTTTATATTACCATAGCAATAAAAAAACAGTGATCTCTAGTGACTTTGTCAAAGTTCTGGCTTTACTTTAGGATCTCCTTAAAAAAATGTGATATATTTTAAAAAATCGTATATGTAAGTAAATATTTGTATTCTTAAACTTTTTGTTTTAGAATCACATTTAATTATTTCAGGTATTTGATTTCTAAATCTGGTTGGATAATAAATGTAACTATTATTTAACAAATCCAATAGATTGTTTTTGTTTGTCTGTCTTTTAATCTTTGTAAATGTTAAGAAAAAAGCAGATAAGGCTAATAAACTAATCTTACCATGCGCTATAAGGCTCATTTAGTGACGAATACTTTTATAAGTACATTTTATTTAGAATTTCATATTTTTAAACTTAATCTTTGTATTAATATATAATAAAATATGTTAATATATAATTCGAAATATATGATTTTTTACAATACTTTAACAATCCCGTCAACCATATCATGTGTCATGCTATTCCTGGAATCAATTAACACCTAAGGAATGCATTAAAAGATTTTTTTCATATCAGTTATCAATTTATAATTATTATCAAAATATTAATAATAAATTAAATGTAATAATAGTAAAATTAGTAATAACGGAATAGATAAGTAGGATTATATTAATTTCTATATGTGAAAGAGTCACGCAAATCTAAAAAGTATTTCTGCGATTCCCTGATAAATCATTATGGATTATGAAATTTTATCGTCTATAGCGAATATAATAATTGATTTAGAATTTATTTTTTGGGTAAATCTTTTGATTTTGTCTATAAAAATTCAAAATTGAAAAATTGGTATACTAATTCCGGTCCCCCCTAAGTAAGAATCGATATTAGCAAATATTTCTCGAATGTCAGTAAAAATAATAATTAATTTCAGATATTAAAATCGTCGTTGGGCTATATATCATTTTTATTGTCAAAAAATGGCTAAAGTTACTATATTAATAATCGATAGTTAATAATATAATATAAATATATATATATTTGTGGTTATATACAAGTAGACATAGTTTCCTATTTAAAAAATACCTTTTATTGTTACAGTAGTAAAAATTAAATTATGTTTTCTATTGATTATTGTTTATTATAAATTTATTGTTTATTATATCATTAAACATTTTGTAATGTGGCTAATATTTTTATTGCACAGAAATTGTTCAACAGACAAAACATAATTTCTTATGTATCACATTTAAGATAAACGAGAAATCTATTATACAAAAGTACAATACAAAATTTTCTCTTAACGTTTATTTTTTAATTACATTATTTAAGGTGATAGAGTTTTACCAATTTTTAAAGTTAATTGCATTTTATCAAATCAATGATAAAATAAAGGACGCGTCATTGTATTATGTGAGTTTTATTACTTACTTTAATTTTGAAAAATGAAGAATTGATCGATTTTCTTATCTTCAATGAATAAGAATATTATAGAACACATTTGTTATTTTATTGAAAAAATGTTGCCAGATCTTTGACAGCCTTATAAAGTTGCAGATTTTGAAGACTGAAATTTCATTACTGTAAATAGTGAATGGAAATGCATGAACAATTGTAATGTACAAACTATAATCTACTTATAGTCTGGACATAATATATTCACTCATGTTTATTGCAACAATTAATGTCTTTGAAAGAGAAACATTTAAAGGATACGAGTATAATATTCAATTTTATTTTATCTCTTTTTACCATAATTTTTGAGGCTAGTATAGAAAGTTGCATTAAAAATGTAATGGCGTTATTTTCTGTTTCGCAATAAATGCATACATAATAGAGTATAATACAAAGTATAAAAAAATTTTCAAGCGAGTATCGATGAACTTATAATGCGGTGCAACATTTTTTACCTCTTATTTTATTAGATCAGACATAAACGAATTTATAACTTGAATGTAAAATTCTTTATTACGATGAATAGCTATGAATAGCATTCTTAATATTTAATGCCACATTTGACAATGCTGTCGAGTTTTTGTATTTGTATAGAGAGCATGCGTGATGATCATTTCGCATCATATCGTGGAAAGAACAAAGCAGTTCTTTATGTTCTAACTTTTAACATGAATGTTACAAATTCTTCAGGATACAGAGGTACTAACTTCATGTTACAATTATTCTGTTTATTAATCGTTTAATTAATAATCTACTAAATAAGTTTGTGTGTGTGCACACATTATATTATTATAAATCCATTCTTATAAAAGAGATACTGTGTTATCGTTAACTTTTGTTACGCACAAACACTTAATAATTAGATATTAAATATTGAATATAAATATTATATTTACAACTGTATTATCTAACTAATATAACATAAAAATTTATTAGATTTCATGTGGGCAATACATCTACAACGTTTAGGATTTGAAATGGTGGGCTTATGGCCTAAACTCAACAAATGTACTAAGAAATGTTTGTGGTCAAAAATTTGGGTCGGCATCATTCTTATTTTATTAATATTTGTTTCATATATTCCGATGATTCGTGCAATTATACAAGTTTGGGATAATATGGTACTCGTAATAGATAATTTACATACAACGTTACCCCAAGTAATAGTATCAGTGAAATACATTATCATATTACGGAAACAAACGGGTACGTCCAAAATTATATATACGATTCTCTCTTTGATGCGGTGTTTTACAAATAACAGCATATGTCTAAATAATTCAATATTTTAATGTCTTTTACATTGCTCACATTTTATCTATAATTATTTACATTTTTAAGTTGTATTGTCAATTATAAACATGATGGCAGAAGATTGGATGGCATTTAAGCTGAATGAAGAACGAGATGTGATGATAAAACAAGCACAAATAGCACGATTAATTATGATGATTGGATATGTTATCGTGATAATAGCGTTTTTCACAGCAATTATTCTTCCTTATTTTGGCTTTGTCATAATGTACGTAACGAATTCCACAGATCGGCGCAAATCGTTACCATTGGAGACATATCATTTCTATGATGCATACAAGAGTCCGCAATTTGAGTTAATATTTTTTATTCAAATGATAACGCTGTTGTTGGCAGCTACCATTTATATGTCTGTAGATATCTTTCTAGTTGTAATAATTCTTCACATTTGTGGCCAATTAGAAAACTTTAGACGCCGCTTAATTAATTTGATCTCATATAAAAATTTCAATAAAATTTTAAACAATATCGTAGCGACTCATTTACGTCTTGTCAGGTATGAATTTTTATTTTGGTAGAATGTTTAACGATGTTAAATAGCCGATAATATATATATGTATATTTTTATGATTAAATATGTACAGTTTTTAATATATGTATACAGAGTGTCCCATTTTAAATAATGCATTAAAATTTCTCGACAACCATGGTAGATATGGAAAAATATTTCAAACAAAAGTGGTATGGTTCGGAGGAGGACATAAGAAGGTACAATACCATTGATTTAATTTTGGGTGGCGTCACTATAAGGTCAGGTCATGGTCAAATAAATTTTTTTTTAATGAAACATCCTACTTTTGATCATTTTCAATTTATAACTCAAAAAGTACTTAATCAAAAAATTTTTTCTTATGGCGTTTTAAAAAGCTCTCCACATCAGTAAATAGATTCTGGCATCAAAAATAGTATTTTATTAATAAAAATCGATAATCTTGATGATGACACCCAAAGTCAAATCAGTGGTACTTTCTTATTGTCCTCCGAATCAATTTTTGTTTGAAACATTTTTCCACATAGTTTTCGAGAAATCTTTGTGCATTATTTAAAATGGGACACTTTGTATATATAATGTTTGATTTAATGTGATACCCTTTTAAATAATTTTATTTATAGATTTGCCGACAATATCGAAAGTACATATTCTTTAATGATGTTAGTATTGGTATTTCATTTTGGTGTTGTATTCTGCCTAACCGGATTTTTATTTACTATTGTAAGATGCAATAAAATAAATACGAGAAAATCTTTTATAGCATGCATAACGTAACTCCGGTATATATGCTGCACAAAAACTTAATTTGTTAAGTATTATTTACTACTTTTAAGATAAATAATACCACGATTGAGAAAGTTATTTTATAAAATTATTTATAAGTTATTTCTTAAATCAACTTATACGTATTTGTTAATATAAAAATTGTTTACCAAAAGTAATATAAAATTAGTGCAAATGATAAAATATATTATAAAACGTGAAGTATTTGAATGTACTTAATTTTTGCAATGAAGGATAACTTATACATAACTTGTAAAGTAACTTTCCTAATCTTGAATTCTAATAATATAATAAGGTAGTATAATATACCAATAGAAACTTTGTGCTGTTTACCATAAAAATAATATTAGAAATCTTTATGCCAAAATACTTGTATTTTATAT